GAAACTACAGTGATTTGCCTAATAACATGAACATATGGCCTTCAAACGAATGCATGATTTAGTGTCACTCTGCCCAGGGCAAAAACAAAAACAATGCACAAATAAGAAAATCCAATAGAGAAGAGACAGGAATAACTCCAGGCTTAATGGACACATTTCCACAGTTATACTTTGTCTGCCTATACTGTACAGAAGAAGTACAGGGAGACCAGCATTTTACATCAGTGCACCATTCTTTGCTGTAATTAATCTATTAAAAATGCATATGTGAAGAAGATGGATGAGATAAAACATAATTATAGTGCCACTCTGTGGTAGACATGTGTCATTATGGGCTGCTTTCACAGGCAGGTCTCTGATTAAGCAAGGGGACTTAATGTCTTGTTTTTAATCCTTTTTAATCTGATGTTAGCTTAATATTTAAATGCAAAACAGAAGAAAATCAAAATTTAGCAGTGAGCTAGTAAGTGGTTAAAGGTATTGTATCAACACTTGAAGTTAAAGCTGTCTCAAGTACTGCTGTGGTGTACTGGACAGGTTCAGGCAATCGTTCCATTGTGTTGCTCTTTTGTGGTGGTAATGGGAAACATATCACAGGGCTTTATCAGGAGAGAGTGAACTACTGAGGCAGGAAGAAAGAAGTGAGAGTGAAGAAGGAGTAGTTGAGAGACAGGGTGAATCAGTGGTGACTGAGTGAGTTACTGAGGAAGACAAATGAGGCAAAAGCCAGACGCACAAGGGATGAAAATACAGTAAGATGGGAGCTAATGAGTGAACAATAACAGCAGCAGAGGAGTCAACCTGAGGAGTTGAAAACAGAGGTGTCATGGGGATGAAAAGACCTCTCATTATTTTCCAGTCCAGCAGGCAGTGGATTCCTATTTTAGCTACAGGGCTCAGTAGTTCAGCTCTGCACCACTGTTTGCTGTCCCACAGAGTAATAAAAGCTTCAGCATATGCCTCAATTAATCACATGGTATTGGTCGGTTTGATGGATGTGGCCGGTGCCAACTGTAAACTGTATAAATCAAACACGAGTAATGTCTGACTGCAAATATCTAATTATACTTGTTCTATTAATCATAGGATAATGGCAAACAGGTCCTTTCAGCAAACACCTTTAACATCTGCTGGTCAATGGTGACCTTTATTGCATGGGTTAAAACAAAGCTTCAAAGGGATAATCATCTACTGCAGTCGGATGAGAGTAAAACTGAGGAAAGATGAAAAGGAGAGAAGGATCGAGGGACACAGAAGTATTTCATTCCTGGCCTGAGTGTCTGAAACAGTTTACCAAGATCTGAAATTAGCTGAGGGAATTTGTAGATTAATCCATCATGACAGGTTTCTTTTTTTTTTCTTGAAATGTAATCCAAAATGTTCTCAGTTATTCCCAGAAAATTAATCAAAAGGTTTTAAAAATTACAGGTGCTATAAATGTTTAAGATATCTAAAAAATAGAAAAACAAAACTGTCAAAAGGTTAAGTTTGAGTTTAGTAAAACCCGAAAAGACTACTAACATTACCAAAAATAAATGGAAAAATGATCTGTGTTAGTCAAAATGAGCAACAATGAAATAGGGTTAGGGTTAGGGTTAAAGGTTAGTCAAAATGAGCAACAATGAAATAAAAACATGAATAAAAACAACTGGCCAAAAATACTTAAAAATGGTAAACGATAGAACAGTGTAACTGATATTTTATATACGCAAAGTTAGCAAATATACTGAATTAATAAACCAAAACAGATCAAACCTTATCCAAGGACACAGATAAGAAGAAGAAGAACAACAAGAAGATGTAGAGGAAGGAGAAAAAGAAAAAGATGAAGAAGGAAGAGGAATAAGAAGAAGAGGAGGTAGAAGAAGAAGAATCTGTATAGTATGGAATATTTTTCCTGAAAAAAAAAAATCAGACGCAATTTACAGGTATTTCTAAACCATTAATCCCTAATTTAACCAAATGTTACTTTCTGTGTTTTATATGTGTATTGTGTGGTTGATGTGCAACATCAGTGCACAGCACTGAGGTGAAAGTGGAACATGGTCAAGGTCTGACTCGAAAGTATTTACAGCATAAACACAGATACAAGGCTGCACCGAAGGAAGTGCAAAGACACAAAATGAGGGGAGGAAATGAGGGGCGAGAGGACTGTGTGGAGGAGAGGAAAGAGGCTGGTGGTGATTATCATTATGTCGCAGGAAATGATGGAACAAAATGACAGAGAAAAGCAGGAGGAGAGGAGAAAAACAAGGGAAGGCGAGGGCAGTCAGAGCAGCTGCTGCAAACACAGCCTTAATTACACTGCGATGGAGGAGATTTACTTTTTACTTACAGAAACAATTCTATTGTGGAGGGTTAGTCAAAGATCAATCTAAATTACCTTTCTGGATTTAACCCATAGGAAATTAATGATTGATTTAATTTAATATGATTTGATTTTGGACCTATTTCATATGATTTGAGCCACTTCTTACAGATTATTAATTAATATAGTGTGCTTTAAAATGCTTTAAATTGTTTTTATCACCTTATTTTCACAGTGATCTGCATCACTACATCTCACCTTGATAGTCCATCATTGTGTAATTTAATTCTTAACAACTAACAAAAGCGTTTCTTAGAGAAGCTTAGCAAGTAATACTTCATTCAGACTTGAAAAAAAAGTATTACAGAGGGCAAAGTCTGAGTCTTGCGGTTGTAAGTATTTCATTACAATTTTACCCCAGGCTTAGGTAAATTCTTCACATGGTTCAGGCAGTAATACAACTTTAATACCAGCTGACTAAGCAACTTGAAAAACAAATGGTGATTTTTTTTCAGCTTTAAATTGGTGTGCACTACTGCAGCACTTGAAAAGTCTTTAAAGGATCTTTATGCCACAGTTTTCTCATCTTTTCACTGACAATACCAGTGGAAAATATGTTAAAAATAAACTAGAATCAAACCCACAGCCCTAAACAGAGCAGCACCCTACCTACTAATTCACAGACACGTACTCGTACGAAGTGGACAGTTGGTGTTTCTGTGAAATCACCAAGTCACTGACAGTCTTTTAGTCATTACTTAAATTTCCCAGGGGAGCAGACAGAAGTTATGCATTGAAGCTTCGATAAAAGTGTAAATTAGTGAAGAGCTGTAGGTTGAAGTGTTCATTTTGAAGCGAGGCTGCACCACTCTGTACATAAAGTCAGCACCGACTTCCTTGAGGCAACCAAAAACATAGAAGAAATTAAACAACCTATGAAAAATTAGAAAAGTGAGAGGATTAATTTCTGCTGCCAAAGGTAAAGGATATGATGGACCCATAAGAACATAATTCTGTTCCAGAGGCTTAAATAATGTAATTATTCTAGTAATGAATGTAAATAATTTGACTGTATGGCCTGCTAATAGAGGAGCCCTAGTCAGGTTTTATTATTGCAATTATTATTGAGACGTATTAACAATCTATTAGAAAATATCTGGAAAGTAAAACACTCTATGTTCTCTAAACCTGTGAATACACATATATGTTGCTGTTGTATGTGGAGGGTTGAATAAAAACAACCGAGCAGCGTAGAAGACACACATTATTATAGCTTTAGGGGACTCTGTGATATTAGGGACTCTCTCTACAACACAGTATATTAACAGAGGGAGATAGAAAGAAAGAATAATAGACTTAAGCAACAGAGTCCAACAGAGGCTGAGGTGAGACAGGGGAAGGAGACAATGGAAATGGGAATAAAGGTGCAGACTGTGGAGGTGAAGGAGAGCAGATAACAGGAATCTACGTGTGACAGAGCCTTGACACAGAGATTCATCTACACCACAGCTGAGATAAGGCATGGAAGAGGGTGGCAGCTGTACATTTACACAGTCAGACCATTAGAAAAGGAGAGGAGAGTAAGAACAGTGAGTGTAGCTTCAGGCTGATAAACTGAGAAAAAAAAACAGTCTTAAGGGAAAAAAGAAGACAGAAGTAAAAACAGAAGCAAATGCACTTTGCTTGCGGCCACTTGGCTGCAGCTTGAATGCAATTAGCCTTTAGCAACAGGTGCAGCTTTTTCTGCTGACTTAATTCGTGTCATTTCTTAAAGATCTGCTTGCTCCCTTTTACACTCCATCACCTTCATACATTATAAATACATCATTACAACCTGTTGGCTTGCACTCAGTGGCACTGTGGTATGTTCAGCAGAGAAAAAAAAACCAAATCAACCACATCATCATTAGGCGCTCCAACAGCCAGGCGCCACACTGTTTGGGTTATTTTACCACATCATGTGGCCCGAGGCCTCTGTCTGAACCCCGTCTGATGCTTTCGCAATCTACTGTGGCCGAACCCAACGTGGTTAAGATAATAACCTAATCTAATCCTGTTGAAGTCGCACACAGATCCCTGGAGGGCAGCTGAGTCTTTTTTCTCATTCACATCACACAACAATCAGTCCTGCAGCCGGATGTAGCAAGTCCAGGCAGAGCTGTGATTGGAGTTCTCTGGGGAGGAGAACGGGGCCAGCTGGCAGCAAGTGAAGGCCAGACAGTAAAGCTTAGTCACATACAGAACTGGCACGCAGTCTGCTTCCTGGTCTTGAGTCTGCGTTTGACAGCATGAACATGTATGTGTGTGTGGTACAAGAGATGATTCCAGATTGTGGGGACTAGTTTTTGTTAAATGTGAGGAAATTCTCCAGGTCCCTACAAATACAGAGGGGCCATGAGATATGAGCTACCCAAAATACAAGTTTTCCAAGTTACGAGTAAGCAACTTTTGCAAGATTTCCAAGGAAGCATCGAGTTACGAGCACTCAACGAAGCTCCATTTTTGACACTGTCGCACTCACTGTCTCTACCTCTCTCAAGCTCAGAACCTTCTGGTGACAGTAAGGATGTATAATAGTACACCAACAAAGAGTATAATTTAAACCTTCATTTGGGGCCACTAATACAGTACTATCAGCAGTCCAGGGAGAGTGTGGTGGTACGTGTATTTTGTCTGTTTTTGAGTGTCTTACTTTGAGCAGATCTTTTGGAAAATCTTGCCCCTCATTCAGTCCTTCCAGGTTTCCGATGAACTGTGTGCATGACATCCTTTTGCCAATATTCTGAAAAAAAAAAAGAAGATTTTACTCAATGCTGACTCATGAAATTCCTGAACGGCACCATAACATAATATTGTTTCATATTCTGTGTCTATTGTCTGTATCATATATGACAATAATGGGAAAAAAGAAGAGGTAAGAGCATGTCACTCAGGTTCGGCCTTTGGACATCTGTCCAGATATTTTAAATCTTTATTACAGGGCTATAAACTCTATCTATGTGGCACTGTGTGTTCAGTTAACCACATCATGTCTCAACTTTAGCTATCCTCTGTTATTTCTATCTTTATTTTCTTAATTCTTGCTGCCAGACAGACAACAACACATCTTTTCACATAGCTGAGCACCATTAACCTTAATTACAGTAAGAGACCACCATGAACCCTTTGTCCAAGTCAGTCATGATGAAGAGAGCTGTGACTGTAAAAAAGCAGACTTGCAGACCTGGACTAGCTGGTGATCAAGTCCAATCTTATATTCCATAGAAACTCTTTTGCTGATCAGGAAAAACTTTGAGCAGAACGCAGCTCCTTAAAGCAGGTCATCTTGGATCTGATTGAGCTTAAATGTTACATCTGTGAAGACTTTTAGTAGATTCTCTTCTACACCTTCACATCAATAATATGATGCAATAACATTACTCACATGACCGTGGAGGTCAGTGTTCAACAGCATCAGAGCACAGGTGAGAGTGTGAACTGCATCTGAAGGATGAAAACAGTGAGTCAGTTTTTATCTTAGACACATTTGCTGCATTACATAGGTTTCGCTGATTTTCATGGCAGTGTCTCACCAAATAAGGGCTTGTTTATTTGGCCTGTACCACATTGGTAACTAGAGTGAAAGGCTACAAAAGAATTCTGGACCTCCAGTGAGAATTAGATTTCACTTAGACTTCAGACTTCGTATTAAAAGGTGAATTCTACAAAAAAGTTGTTTTCTGAAAATAAAAAATAAAAATTCTGACTTTCTAGAGTAAAACATTTCATCACAGGAAAATGTAACAGATTCAGCAATTTAAGTTAGAATTTTGAGATGGTGGTTTTAAATTGTTGTTTTTTGCAAAACAGTAGAGTCTACAATACAATAAGTGACTATATGCAAGAAAAAAAAGGAGAAAAATAAATTTAAAAATGAATCACAAAGAGTGTTTTTCTGAGGTTTTTCAAGGTTTTTACCCTCTGATGGCATGAGGTTTGGGTTACAGTCCAAGTATCGCCTAGAAAAGTGTGAGAGCACCCTCTCCCTCTCCTGGGTCTCCCCCATGAGGGCAAACTGCTTTAGAAAGGTCCTGCAAACACAAAGCAGAGGAAAGGTAAAACATCTGCAGATTCATGCAGATTAAAGAAACGGAGCAATCACCAGATAGCAGTGCTCATAACCGATAATGGCTACACGAAGCTGCAAAAATGATCCTATTTCACTTTATTAGTCTGAAAATTATTATTATTTATACTACAAACAATGTGTTTTCCTTTGTCAATGCAACAGGGTCAGGCAGAACAATTAAATACCTTTACAGTAGGTGGCAGCAGATGGCTATAATAACCTAAAAAAGTGACTCAGGGCTTCTGAAGAAGATCTTCCTTAGTTCCTGTGAGTGTATCAGGGATGTGTTCAACTATAAAGGCTTTAAAACTGAGTATGTAAATTGTGAGTCATGATGGATGTATGGATGGATATACATTAATATTGGATATACAATGTCTCACCTCAATGCCTGGTCAAGAGTGAGTCCTGTGAAGTTGAAGAAACTGAGATACTCCTCTGCCACCATACGGCTGAAGTCATTACTGTGAAAGATATTTAGGTCAAATATATTCTATACCCAGCAAATCTGATCCACAACTATTAAATGTCAAGCACTTTCAGTGACTTTAATATTTACTACAAGGGTCATAAACTCTATCTATCTGTAAATTCTCAGGCTGGGATTATCTGTCTACCTGTGTGCTGTGTACTCAGCTCAGCTACACAGCTCTATGGTATAAAACACTATTCAGAAAGTGTAAACGAAGAGTAGTCACCATTATATTAATGTCTACTCTTACCACTTATCCTTTAATTTCCTACAAAACGCGTATTCCCACTCCTCACTCAGATCTATAGTTTTTTTGGCAAACAATTATCATCTAATATGAAGAGGTAGCCTTTTACAGTAGCCTGTGACTGTAAACAGCAGCAGATTAATGATGATAGAAGAGGATGAGAAGGACCACCAGCAGACCACTTAATCAGTGACTTCACTTCAGGCTATAAATAAGTCAATATTTAGACTAGTGAACCACAGACATCAGTCTTTTCAAGCAGTGTTTGCTGCTTGTTGTACATCAGAACCGTCACTGTCATTGCAACCATCTCCCAGCTCACTTCTTGCTAAGGTGCCGTGCCACGTCAGACTTCCTGAATCCGTCCAGGTTGAAGAGTCGTTTGGCCAGGCGTCTGGCTGCAGCCACATCGGCTCGGTGGCTTCCATTGGTAAGTGTGTCGCTGCTGTCCAGCCCTAATCTGTCACTCAGGTCCTGGTCCAGCTCTGAATCAGTCGCCAAACGGGCCTTTTCCCTGCTGAGAGGTCAGAGGCAGAGAGAATGAGAGATCCAAATCAGACATGTGTTAATGAGACAGAATACAATGTAAAAAAAAGGACAAATTTAGAAATTTAGAATTTTGCATCATTTCATATCTAATAAAAAATAGACATTTAAACCAGACCACTGTATATCAAACAAATCAGTGATTTCTTTTCAGCATCTTTTCAACATTAATATATTATTAATTCTTCCCAGAACACAAAATGACAGGAAGCAGGTTTTTGAGTTCATTCAATTGAGATTCAACATGATGGTGACATTTCTGGCTGTGTAACCATTCAAATCACACCACTGAAAAAACATTACAAGACTCAGCAAGACTCAGACTGACAGAAAGAGCTGGGATTCTGAAAGCCAACCTCCTCAAGCACAGCTTTATTTGGATTTCACAGCGTGAGGAACAAATCAAGAAAACCAACAAACAAACTTGTGTAATAATGGTGGGCTAGAGTAGGCTTAAGATGAGAGGAAGAATGATGTACTTTGTGCACATTAAAAAGTACTATTATCATTTATATTTATACTTGCTACCATATGTTCTGAACATTAAATTATTAGTAATTACTATCACTGTTGATTCTTGACTATTGAATATTATATTTACTAAGCTAAGTTGCACAATATATTTAGTACTTATGTATTTTAATAACTGCCATAGTTGTGTAAAAGTGATCAGTTTTTACTTAGTTAGTTAGTTCTTTGGTACGTATAACAATGGTGGTACTTGGACTCCCTCTAGTGGCTCAGAGGGGAATTCGATTCCTATGAAAATTAGATGAGTCCCTTAGTTTTTAATTAGAGCTACAGTTATAATATATTTCTGTTCTCTGTGTGTGTGTGTTTATGTGGATGTGGTTTTACAATTTAGTACCAGTTGTAGTACTACTCCATGTAGAGTGCACCTTTGGTGGATAAATACTCTTAGTTAAACAGGGTTGGTAGACAGCACTATAATCTTGCAGGTGGTAACATGATAGTAAAAAGTATAAAACACATATTTAGACTATAGTATACTATTTTTAATAAGCCACTAATTATTCAAGTATATGTTTAGAAGAAAACGTTCTTTCGTTTTGGCACCCCATGTGACTTTTTCATTCTTTCTTTGCTTCAACGTCACATTTAAATAAAAAGCCTTGGTTTTCTGGACACAACCAAAATATCTGGGAACTTTGGAATTTTTGCACTGAAAACACACCAATTGTAAAATTGTAACTATTTCATATTTTAATAGTGGAATCTCATAAGAAGATAACTCAATGAAAAATAACTCAAAGAAATGATGTACAGTATATAAAATTACTGAAGCATTAAGACATTTTGCAGGTCAAACATTGAACACCAGTCTTTAGAGACCACAGCGCCAGAGACAGGTTCCGCCTACCTGTGACAAGACTTCCTTAGTGACAAATACCGGTCTTCAGTGGCTGCTGATGAACTGTTACAGCAGAAAACTGAGGAAGCCCTCATTCCTGACCCCGGACCTCCACCTCGCATCAGACTGTTCCCTCGAAGGGCCCTACCTCTGCTCCTGGAGTCATACACTGACCGCATCACTGCTGAAATTCCACAGACTTGAGGCTAACGCAGAAAGACACCTGTGGTTGCTCCCTAGAGCCTCCTGCACACTCCAACATTCCTCTGCTTGGTGTGGAGTCAGTCTGGGACCTGGTTGGTCTCTTATCTCCGTTCTCTCTTCTTTCTCACTCTCCCTCTGTGTTTGCTGTCATTTGAGCCTCACAGCGAGCCTCCTCCCCCCCCAAAGTGAAAGAGCTGTTTTTCCCCCAAAGTCTGTTTGCTGTTGTTTCTGCTCCTTCTCTTTCCTCCTCCCTCCGTCCCTTTATTTTCTCCCTTTTTTTTACTCTGCAAACTCTCACTGTCCCGCATTGACCTTGGATTCAAACCACGGCATGAGACTTGGCCTGTCTTTACACACACTAATGCCCGTTTTTTGTTCTAACCATTCCTTTCATTCATTCCTCTCCAGTTACACTCAGAAAGTCCATCCACAAACTCTGCTCCACCTTGTTACCGTTGCATCCTTCAACCACACCTCCAGAGACAACAAATCCAGGAGGTGTCAGGTATAAACTCGACATCCAATGGGTGTGAGCCTGGAACTGTTTCCTCAACAACCACAGTTTTCCCGTGGGGGGAGAGCAGAGCAGTGGTCTTTTTTCAGCATATGTAGCCATGGTGGAGTCTGTTGACAGCGTACGCTTCACCACAGCCTGGAGCAGTCTTCATAATCACACAGTCCAATTTAAGCTCAGACACCTGTTAGCACTGTCTCATCAAGTGCCAGCTCAAAGCCGAGAGGTCCTGAGAGAATTCTCAGAGTCTGCCTGCACTTCAACGGTACCCCAGTCTAATTGAACTAGCACCAATCGACACTCCCCCCATCTCAGTGTGCCGGGCAGTGCTACACAATGGGCCACTGTCTGATGGTACAGAATGTTTTAAAAAGGGTGATGTGAGGAAAAAGGGACGGGGGTGGGGAACACTTGGACTGTGGAATTCCAACTTTCATCAAGTCTGGACCAACCTTCTGAAATATTTTTTCATTGCTTCTGGATTCCACAGGTTTTGGGCTGCTAATAAAAGTGAGATAAGAGCTGCACTGAGCAAATATTTACCTCCATGAGCTCTCGTCTCAGAAAGGGTTTTACCAGGAAGTTGAGTAGAAAATAAAGGAAAGCTAAAGTAATATTCTGTCAATATACATTTTGTGCAGACGGGCTTCCTTTACGTGAATTACCTGACACTGAGCCAGGATTCCTTTCCCGAATACACACATACACACACACCCTTCTGCTTATTACAAACACACCTCTGTTCCTCAAGCACACAGCGATCCATCTGAATCACGTTTACAGTGAACAAAAACATTCAGCAGCTTCACTGCTGCTCTCTACCGCCATCTCGCGGTGAACACACCTCAGCGACGCTTTACCTCTGCAGCGCCGTCACACTACTGTTACTGAAGGTGACTTTCACTTTTCTGTCTGTCTATCTATCTATCTATCTATCTATCACATTGTTACACAGATTATTACAGGGTTCTGTAATCAACATGTAATATATGGGCAACAAACCAGCACCTATATGGGTCTATGTTGGGCATATTAAGATACACGTGTTTCATGGCTTGAGATGTGACCTACACTCTGGTTACATACATACAAATAGGGTGCCTAAAATACTCTTTACCTTACTTTCTTTATAGGTGGGCCAAGTGTCCAGTTTTATTTATATTTACAATGTAAGCAAGAGTGATCCCATGGCCCAGATGTATACTGAAAGTACTTTGTTGAAGATTATGTTGACCCCTAACCCTCAAACTCTAATTCCCATCTTAGTCTTTGAAAGAAATTACATATAGATGAAAAAGATAGATGGATGTTTGAAATCAAGTGAAAATGGACATTTTTTCTCAGTTACGATAAACACTTTCACACACATGGCTCTGCAGCCATCCACAACTTTCACTCACTGCTCTGCAGAAAGACAGTGACACAGACAGAGGGATAGAGACACTCGTTTACTTGAAGGAAGAAAGGGAGGAAGGAAAGTGAACTCCTTGTCATTGTGACACAGCACACCACTGCACACAACCAAATGTGACCTCTGCTTTTAACCCATCACCAAAGTGATCAGTGGGCAGCTTTAAGGGCCTGTGGAGCAGTGAGTGGGGACAGTGCCATGCTCAGAGTTTCCTTAACCACTAAGGCACCACTTACTTGTCATGACTATTAACAGTTCCTGATAATAGTCATGAATAATGGGTGTTTTTATTATGTTGTGTATACATTTATATCAAACCACATACATACCACCCTAACACAACCACATCACCACGTCATGGGCCAGAAAACTGAGACTTTTGAATTATATAACAGTATATTAGTTAAATATCACTTTTGATGGGAAAACATGCAAATGTGACCCAGATTCTAGATGAATCATGGCCTGCTGTGATCACTGACTCATATCAAAGTGCTTCATTTGTTATTGTATTTTAGACACACAACAAAATTTGTCCAATGCATTTAACCATTACCCCAAACAGGAGCAGAGAGCGACACTTGCTGCACCAGGGATTTAAACCACAGTCCTCCACGTGACTTATATTATCCCCCGTTCCTTCCCCGTAAAATATTTTTAACACTTTTTAATTTTTAGTGAGCATGTTGGAAGCATGTTGTAAATAGAAAACCTGACCTCGTTCTTTCTCTCAGCCTCATGCATCACCAAACATTTCTCTTTACCTGACTGGTTTCTGGTTCATTCAAACTATTCTCATTACTACTGCAGCACCAAATACATGAGTTGGGGATTAGGTTTTTTTAAAATATAAAAGACTCTCAGTCTCAGTCCACCTAATGCTAATATTCTGTATATGCTATAAACAAATTATTTACATTCCAGGATTTTGATGGTTTTTACATGTGCTGTTTAAGGGTTTTATCCAGAAACCTCCAGTCGTGCAAATGTGAATTTGTGTTTTGTGAACAAACACCTGTAAACAAAAAGGATAAACTCACCTTGGTAGAGTGAAAGAGGAGTTGCTGAACCAGCTGCTTCCTAGCTGTGAACATTCCTTCCGTCTGTGAGGCGTTCCCTCTGACCCGCTGCTCAGCCGCTCACTCGAAGGGGCTCTGGTGGCATCCGAGTCCCCAGTCACAGTAAATATAGAATCAGAGAGACTGGGCCTCTCATCGTGTGCCAGCGGAGCAAAGCTGAGCTGAACGATGTGCCTGGCACTATGGCCGCCCATCCCGTGGATAGCGGGGGTTAGTGTGGGCAGGTCAAAGGTAAGGACGGTTTGGGTGCTCGAAGTCAGCAGCTCTTCACTTTCCAAGCTGTTGTAGGACGTCCCTTTGGCACGGTGAGACTCCATGATGCTTTCAAAGTGGCTGCTGAAAGTGTCCTCTGCAGCAAGGCGAGGACCAGAGACCAGGAGAGGGGATTTCAAGGCTGGGTTGTGGTTGTCAAAAAAAGTTTCCACTGGTCTGAAGAAAGAGACAAATTATAGCAACGTGGCAACAATGTAGAGTCAAGGTTTTTTTTGCATTACAAATTGAATATTTGTGAAATGCAGCATTATCTAAAAATGTAACATTAATTTTAGGTCAAAGTACTTGACACCACTTTCTTACAAAGTAGGAAATGGATGGTGAAATTAAGGTCAAAATGTGGGTCAGAGGACATGTGTGTTTACAGACATGTAAATGATGTTTGGGATGCTTATGTTCACCTCTTCAGGAGGTGTCCAAAACCTCCTCCTGTCTCCTCCTGAGCTGCATATTGCTGTTTTCTGGTGTCTCCTTGCATCCTCACACTGGCCCAGCTCACTATTTCTTCTTCTTCTTCTTCCTCCTCAACCTCCTCCTCATCAACTTCCTCTTCAGCACCCTGACCTCTCTCTCTGCTCTCTTCTGCATCTTCCCTGTCTGTCCTCCCATTTGCCAGACCGCCCAGAGGGCTGCTGCCTGCCCCTGATGTGCCTTGAACACTGCGGTTACTCCCAAATGCTGAGTCTGCATCATCCTGTTCAGCAAGTAGAACCTCGTCTATGTCTGTTTCACGGTAGCAGCGAAGTGGAACAGCATCCAGGTCTGTTTCAGAATATTTGAGTGTCCGCCGAATAATTCCAGTTTTTGGTGAGGTCCCTATAATGGCGGGAGGAGGTGTCACCAGCTCAACCTCCACATGCTGGACCTCGTGATTGGCAGAAAGTAAAGGAAGGGAGGAAGGAGGAGTTGGTGTGGGAGACTCACTGGAGTTACCACTGGGAGGAGCTGTAGAGCTCTCCAGACATGCTATAAAAGAAAAAAAAAATCAAATCTGTAACCTGAAACAAATACATGTATGTAAACATACTGACTGACAAAAAAGGAAAACATTAGGGACATGTTCTCACTTTTCTTTCCCCTGCTGCAAGCCTCCTCAGCAGGTGCCCCGAACAAAAACTCCCACTTGGCTCTTGCGATTCTCTGACAGTGCAAAGATGGCATCGCCTCTGCACAGCCACTGTCCGTCTAAAATACCCGCACAGACACACACAAAAACTTAAAATTAGAGTCTTAACCCCTGCAGAACAGCATTTAGGTTGTGCAGTCTGACAGAAAAAATATCTAGGGGTGACAACAAAATAGATGGGTTCACAGCCCTTAATGTGTAAGGGTGGAACTCAGGCTAAGAAACTGTTAGTTCAGTTAAATATGTAAGCTGGGACAAACAGCTGGCTTTGATTTCTCTGTGACTCTTGCTCTATCTTTTATCCTTAACAACAAATGTAATTTATCTAAAATGTAGGCCTAAGTTACAACGGCTGCATCTGCATGTTAATAGAAATGTGCTATAGTAGGGGAGACAAAAACCAAAAGTCTCCTATGCACCTTAAAATGTTTTACATTGACCTCTGAGGGTCAGGTTTGGACAAACCCAAAAAAAGACAGCTTACGTAAGAAACATTTTAAAAGTAGGGGTAGAGGTCTTCCAAGCACCAACGCTAAAGAATAACCATGGCCATGTAATACGTTTTCCTTTTAGATTTGGGACCTTCCACAGTACTCACCTGTATTCCTGAGGTGGCAGCCCCAGTCTCGTTGCTCTGCCGACTGGACTGGCTTGACTCTGGGGACAAACATTCCCTGTCACCCAGACTGCCCGTCACCCCACTGGAGCTCCGTGAGGACGAACCACCAATTGCTTCGTTCTGCTCTGCCTCTGGAGGCTGCTCAATCCTTTGCCCATGCGGCTGCTGCCTCAATTCGTAGCCCTCTTCATTGTTTCCATCGCCTTCTTCCTCACATCCTTCATCCTCCTCTGGAGAGTCCAAAGCCACTGGCCCCAGGAGCAAGAGCTCTCTTCTTCGCTGCTCAGCCCGTTTCTGCTGAGCAGAGGGGCTCAACGGACGCCGACGTTGGGTGGTATGATGATCAGGAGGCCTGTCATCCTTGGAAGTACATACAGACTCCGGGTTTGAATGTGTGTTGTGGCTTACATGATTTTCCCACTGTTGCCTTGATGTCCAGCTGAGTGGCGCCTCCTCAACACACTGATTTAATAAGAGCCTCCGAGCAAACTCAGTGCAGTCCCCTTTCTCAAAACAGCTTAAATCTTCTCTCCTGTCCGGACACGTGGACCAAGAGTCCCCGGTATACTGTGGTTGCTGATGACGATGGAGAGTGGGGGTATCTGGTGCTCGTAGCTCAGCTTGATGAAGCCTTGGGTCCCTTAAAGGAGAACCTATGTCAGTAGGTGGATGAGTGGGGCGAAAAACACGTGAAGGTAGAGCAGGTGAATTCTGAGCTTCAGGAAAAAACGAGTTCTTCTGCTGACCATTCCTCATGCAGAGCTCCCGTTGAGTGCTGTGATTAGCATGGTGGTTTGTTTTATGTGGGTCTGACTTGAAAATAGAGCTTCCAGGCTGGTGAGGGACGGTTTTGTCAGTTGCTGGCATGTGTTGGTCATTTAAAGGGATGTTCATCTTAAGCACTTGCTTAGACTGTTGTGCATTTGAAGGCGAAGTGTGCAAATCTCCACAGACTGAGCTGCTTGCAGGTTCATCTAGAGGATTGTGCAACAAGGACCTTCTCGACTGTGTGAGCACAGAAGAAGCTTTAGTAGCTTCCTCTGCTAGTCTACGGGCAACTTCAGGGCTTTGAGCAGGAGATGTGGATTTACTGTTGCTTAACTGGTTCAGACCCTTGACTACATTATTACTATGTTGAAGAACAACTCCCTGTGGTGAAGGGTTCTTGTTACAGGCTCTGTGAATGTACCTTTTGGTGGGTGGGCTTCTTGACACCATACGTTGCTCTGGTGACTGTTGAACACTATCAGTTTTCAAACAAGAACCTTGCTTTAAAAGCGAAGACTGTCTTGACTGAGACGATAGTGTGTCTGATGCTGGGCTTCGAGGAAAGCCACAGGTAACCTGGCTCTTGCTTGTTAAGTTATCGGTAGGTGTCACGCTGATGTTTTGACGTTGAACTGGAGATCCAGCCCAGGAGTGACAGCGAGGCTGTTGGTTGTAGTGTGAGCATGAGGCCTGCGCCAGCGCATGAGCAAGTTTAATTCTCAGTAAAGGAGAGCCAAACTCCTCCACAGCCCTTTGTGTAGCTGCCCTGCCGATAGGGTCCAAGTGAGGTTGGCAAAAACTGGGAGAAAATGTCTGCTGGTGCCTTTCTGGTGACTGGAACGTCAGTTTGGGACTTGAGCTGCACGAAGAATCTGGACTACCAAACCATACTGGGTCACTGAGCCGTTTCCGTAAGTGGGAAGGGGTAGATCTTTCTTCTCTAGACCCTCTGACATAAACAGAGCGGAGTGGGCTTTCGACTGTCTTCACGTTCGACTTCTCAACATAACTGAAAGTGACCACAGAGCGCTGTCTATTGTTGACATCCGTCTCCTTCGATTTCTGACAAATGGGAGGTGTGTGAGGAATACTAACGTTTCCAGAGGCATGAGTTGTTGGGTTAGAGTGGAGGGCAGACAATCCATCACAGGGTGAAGTCTTTTTGCCGACTCTTGATGAGCTCCTGGCTTGATGGTTTTTAGTTTGGCTGTGTGTGCAGTCTTGAACCAGATGATGACCGGGAGGGGACTTGGTGACCGCTTGGCAGGACGTCTGGGTTGCTAACTGAGACAGAATCTTTGCTGGACTTTCCTTAACTGACTCAATATCTTTTCCATTATCCTCAAACACTTCCTTTCCACCAGTCTGATCTGAGGCAGACCTCACTTCAACATACAGATGAAGGACTTTTCCAGACTGGGACATGACCTCGTCTGGACATGTAATGAGGGCAGAGAAGTAGAAATGGAGCAGAGGCTGAGTCAACAGAGGGAAGTGACCTCTTCTACTTTTTATTCCTTTGGTTGCTTTTTGTTTTTTTTGCTGGTAGTGCACATCAGTGTATTGACTTCCATCCAAAGAGCTTTAAAAAACAGAGAAACCCAAGTTCAGCAGCCAGAGGACAAACCTGCCCACGGGACACGTTTTGCAGCTCCCTATTCTTCATACCTGTACATAAAAGAAAAAAACAATTTTTCTCTTTTACAACTTTTCAACTTTCAGACGATAACAAGTCATACATATGTCTGTGCAGCCTTTCTGATGCATCCTGTTAGCTGTGCCAACCAGGAGCACTTAATACATTACAAACTTACAGCACGTTACAGTAATACATCACCTTCTGGCATTGTAACAACACATTTTAAGCCAATGTATCATTATTGCACTTTAGGTTGTATAACAACTTCATTACGTGTGAATGATTGAAGTGTGAAATGTAATGACAAGTGCGACCTAATACCTAAATTGAAAAATTGAAACTGTTGCACTGAAATCTTCAGCTATTTTCTAAACTTAATAAATCAAGTAGGCCACACAGTCAAAGAGTGGTTAGTGCACCTGCCTTCTAGCAGGACTGTCTCAGACCAATCCCCAGTGGGAATGGATGCACTCTAAATGACAAGTTTGGGCTGGATGCATTAATTCATGAATTACAGTAAGTGTTGATACTGAACAGAAGTTTCACTACAATTAATGCCATAGAAAGTAGAATTTTATTTGGATGAACTCTATATAGTAATAGTCAATTTAAGCCTGTGTTCGGATTATTGGGACAGGAAATACACACCAGCGCCAATTTCTTGCCGTCCATTATCAGCCTCCTTTGAGAATAGGATTCGTCAAATCATAAGTGCAACAAAAGCTATTCCTTTTTACCTTTCTCTAATAATTAGCTACTTTTCCTGGCATCGTTCTCATGCATCTCTCTGTGGTTTTCACACCTCAAAGCTAATGTTCCCACAGCAACACCATTCACAAAGAAGGCCTTTGTTTGTCTGACGGCAGCTCCCTGTGTCCCCCCTGTCTACAGAGGTGAGAGAAAGACAACCTGGCTCCGTGGCTGCATCATAAATATGATGCCGTCACCAGAATGATGGAAAGAAAACTGACACTATTTACATGTGTATAAGGAGATACTAAGGAGTAATTATCAATATTTAAGTAATTATTTAGATTCTGGGGACCAATTTGACACCAATTTGTCCCTCCCACAAATTACTTCAATCACAATTTCTTACACACAAAAACAAATTAGGAACAAATATGGCGTTAGCAATTTAGGGTGTAATGATGTTAAATGGAGACGCTGGCAAATTCTGTGGTTTTGGCCTTTTTCTCTTGACTTTAAACATTAATTAGTTTTTGACAGTTGTCCAACTTGGCAGCACTGCTGTGCTACGACTTACAGTGAAATCAGACTATGAACACTCCCTCACTGTGCTGTTCCTGATTTACGGTGTAAAAACCTCAATTACATTAATTACAAACTGCTTATTTTTCTCTACTGGATTAAATGAATCACAATCTGGTACTTTCACTGCCTTTTGGAGCTAAAATGTAACGGAAAACTCATGCCAGACGTTTGTCTCCCCTTTTCTAAAAGTTTTTGAGTTAATTTTTTAACCCTTTATATTTAGTTGGGTTAAAAAAAATTGACGATGATGGAATAAGTGCAACCGACGGTTGACGCACAGAGCAGACGCCACAGCGCCTCTATACCTTGTACAAACACAATCTCAGTACAGATGACTCATCCTGTTGTTGTTCTTTTAGGTCACACTGCCAACAGGAGAAAACACACGCAGGTAGGCAAAGACCCACTGCAGTGTACACACATACTGTATCAACAGACTCCAGCGGGTGCTGGGCTTTTATGAGGCAAATCGCAGAGGTAATTAAACCCTAGTCAACATGTGCAGCCGTGGGATATGACTGGATGTGAGTGGTCCAATTGTGCATGTGTATGCGTGTGTGTGTGTTTGAGGGTGGTCATGCTAATATTAGCTCTCAGCTTGCTTGTTCCTGGCACAGTGCGGCACCATCAGCTACGATTTCAGTGACATGACAGATTGTGCAGTTTAAGTAGTAACTCATTGAAGCTTGGGGACATTAATAGGGCTCAGAGAGTTCACTTAGCCAACGGCTATGGGGGGTATTTAAGGCCATTTACTGTGAAAGATGAGCCATCCAAAGTCTGATCATCCACTCAGGGCATTAGCTTACATATCACTGTGTCTGCCATCTCCTGAGACTTTGGCTCAAACCCTAAATGCAGTCTTAACACTCAGTGAACTTCTGTTTTTTCTGGACAGAATCATAAATAACCCACCTGAAAGAGACATAACTTCATCATTTTTACCATTTTCATTCCCACTTAAGGCCTACTTTTCCTAGAATTAGACAACAAAAGGCAGATATAATTTGCTTCAAAATCATTTTTTTTACCACCAAAAGCAAAGCCATTAGTTACAAGGCTTTTGTACTGTATGGATACAGTTACAGTTTGTATTTCTTTTCCAACCACGCCACCCTTTGAATTTATTTGGTAAATTTATTAGCTTTAATTAGCTTGTATTAGGTTAAAATGCTAGTCTTATTTCAGCAACCTGCATGGTAGGATGAAATACGCTCCGAGACATGATCCTGATAGCCATGGGCCACATCTGTACTGATAGACAGATGAACTGCATAAGACATGACATCAGCTTTTTTCTCGAATCTGGGTGAAACTAGATCAGATCTTCTGTAGTCAGAAGAGACATGTCGAGTGTACATGTTGATATCTAGTAGTATATATGCTTAGAGAGAGCTGCTCACATGGAGTTAGATTGTACAAGATAGATGCTAACACCAGGTCGGAACTAGATACCCTAAAAATAGGACTATTTGTCTATGATTAAAGGCTGCGTTGCTCAGAAACCTTTCTTCTGATGCTGCCTACAGAGACACGCTGAGACAAAGGACGTGAATAGTCTGATTCATGCAGAGGAAAAAAGTCCAGTGAGTGAAAAAGTGAGAAAGAAGTATAGGTGAATTGATGGGGAGAAAATGGGATAATATTAATCGCTAGCACTCAGACCAAGGTCTTGCTATCTTTTCAAGTGCCCTGCCCTGTTTAAGCAGCTGAACAAGGAACAACAACAGAAACCCCTGAGTTTACAATCTATAACAAGACCGGCAGTGTCCTCGTTTTAAAGAACTCTGAAAACTGTAGTAGTATCAGCAGATGTATCACCGCAAAAACACTGAGACATTAGAAATAAAGAGCGGCATAGAAACTGAATTCTCTCCGCAGACGTTACTCAGCCATTGTGTCTGGTGGAAGGGTCATGTTTCCTTGAACAGATCACCAGACAAGAATTTACAGACCAACCAAACAGAGTAATTGTACTAGGGGACATTATATCATCATCTATCCTTTTATGTTATGTTATATTGTTGTATCGTTTCATATTCTTATCATAAGAAATAATACTTTTTACAAATGTCACATTAAAATATTTCCATATACATGAAATCAGTTCTCTTAATGTGCTTAAAATGTATGATTTACTAAAACAAAAGGTAAGACATTACTTTTTGTAAGAAAGAACAGCTACACGTCTAAGCAGGAGTTGATTTAACTGGTGCAGGTTGCAGACTTTCATTAACGTAGTAATGCGATTTGACCAACTTTTTACAAGGTTACTACAGAATAGTTCAGGTAGTAAACAGTTAAATGTAGTCTAGTGATAAACATTGTCCTACTCACTTTTTAGGTCATTCAATGAAACATCCAATCAAAAGACTTGTTCCTGTTAAAGATAAACAGTAAGTACAGTTATACGGTCACATCATATAGATTTTACCAAACTTTTTAGCAAACTTATGACATGATTTTCCCACAGATCTGTTTACTATTTGTACAGCACTTTGGTCAATGTAGGGATAAAACATTACTTACTCATCTATTATTGCATGACAGAAATATTTGGTGTATTTGGCGTAACCCCCCTCCCCCGCGACTCAATGACTGCATAATTTTAACAGGATTCAATAACAAGAAGCAGAGTAACAGGATCAATGACATTTAACGGTTGCAACTTTGACAGCGGTGACACAACATGCAGTGACATGCTCAGGCAGACTAATTATGTGAAGAAAGGCAGTACTTGATTTCACACACCCTCACACAAGTCTTCACTCTCACATATCACATTCGCAAAATGTAAATGTCCATTTCCCTAATTAGTCACATGTCCCTTAAGTCTGTGAACATAGATATCTGCATGATCTAAAAAGATACTGAGTCAAGCTGTCAGCTGCTTCTAGGTTTGATTATATTGAATCACATGGTGCTGTCAGCAGAAACCAGTATCACTAACTAATTAATTTGCACTACAAAGAGACAGAAACACAATTTTTTCCAATCTTCTCCTCCTCGTTCCCTTCCTGCCCTCCTCCCAACTCACTCTCCCTCTCACCTCTCCTCCTCAAACACCGCCGCTTCATCCAAACAGGATTTACACCTCCCACGTGGCTTATCTCCTGTCATCCTCTCTGAATATCCTTCGTCCATCCCTCTCCTTTTCACCACCTTCCTTCCTTCTTTACTTCTTTCCTTCCCTCCACTGGCTCCGTCAGAACAGACCTGTTCGAACATCCTGGCCCAGCACAGCCGGCCCTCCCTTCCCGGCAGCAATGCTCACACTCAGCCAATTATCATGCTCCCATCACCTCCTCCTGCACTCCTCCCCCTGCCGCTTCCCCTCCTTCCCTTTCTCCCACCTCTCTGCTTTTCCCATACATGCTGAGTCAGTGTGGAGTAGTTAGCATGGGTATGGGAGGGTGCTGCATGGAGGGAACATTCAAGACACCATTATCTTAAGTGTTTAATGGCACCAGGGAGCAGTATATGGAATAAGATGCACTTCAAAATAAAAGCAGCAGATGTTAACTAATGAAACTTGACATGTGGTCGAAGCTGCAGGACCCACCGCCTGAGACGTGTGTGAACCCCTCCTCCCTGACAATGCAGGTGTAAACAGATGAACCAAAAGATGGCAAAATGAAAACGTCCATCTGGTCATGGCATTAAAAACTCATGCAAAATGTCCATCCACTCATCCTTGGCCACTTGTACTATAAAGGGCCACAAAGGGAGGAGGAGACAGACTTAACTGACATATGGTGAAAGGCAGTTTGCTCCATGGACCAATCTATAATCCAATAGAGAGAACCTGTACAGTACAGAGACAGATCTGTGTGAATCTGCGGATTAGTAAGAAGCTGCAGGGAATCCCTAAATATCCAAAAAAAAAAAAAAACCACACAGGGAGAACTCAAACAACAAGTGACACAGCCCTGCTGTCAAAGTCTGTTTAGATTAAATGGGATCTGAAATCTGTGACCTTCCTGCTGTAAGGCAACACATCACTAAACCCTGTGGCCGTCTCAAACATGCACCATATATACAAACGGACAAACGCTGAGCCCCTAAAGCTCCCCACTTTAAGTAAAGTATGAAGACAGGAAAACCAGCAGCTAGTTTAGTAATTAGATCATTACTTTTACCATGTTTTCTCCATTGTTGCTCAGCAAAGCTCTAGATTCAACAGTTTGGTCTGAAGCCCTCTGTGTGTCTCAAGTGCTGGAGGAGAAACAGGTGAAAATGACAGGCAGCTATCACTTCCTGTCCATCATTACACACACTGCACCAAGCTCCTTCAAACCAGCTTATTGCTGTGTCAGCACTTGTGAGGCAGCTGCAGATGAAAGGCCTTCAGCAACCTGGGTGAAAAAAAAGATAAACAACTCCTTCTCATCTTGGCCATGGTTCAGAGAAACAATGTTAAAGAAAATCAAACTGTAAAAAAAAAAGTGAATTGCCTCCATCAGCTGATGGCCACGGAGGTGAACTTGAGAGTCCTACAGGGGTTATCGATACCATGCAATAGTCAAAGGAGTTTAAAAATAGACTCTTTTTTTCTTTTTAGGTCACTCTATCTGTCCTGCAATAACAGCTACTCATTATTAGGATACATAACATTTGATTTTAATTATTAGGAAGATTTAAGTTATTTTTTTGATTGAAAAAAGTTTCCCTTCTATTCAGCCAAAATGTGGAAGAAGTTCAAAAATGGAATGATTGTTTCATCATCATCTTTCAACTGATTTTCAACACTCAAAACAAAATGTCACAACACTTGTGGATGGAACATTTAAAAAAAAACATCCTAAACAATAACATTGTACTATGTACTTTTCAGTAGTATGGACTGATGCCGATACAAAATTAGGGCAGATAGTTAGAACCAATTTGATTCTGTCTGTGTTCTTACTCAATCTTACTCAACTCTTTTGTTGAAATATATTCTTGTACTTGTTAACATCACTATTACTACTACTACTACAGCTGTTGCTGCTACTACAGTACTTCTACTGCTCTAAATAATGACATGTTGCCAACAAAGGAACTAGTACCGTCCAGTACTGACAGTACCATAACTTCAATGTGCATACCTGCTACAGAGACTAGAAAGTAAAGGAAAACACTGGGACTAGTATTTGACTCCGAAATAGTCCTTGCACATGATTCATATCCAAGTCATTTATACTTACCTGAGGGAGAATTTTTTAAAAACATTTAGCATTTTGGAAATGTTTACTAAACAAAAACCACCAGTTACAGTGTAGTGGGAACATGAAAAGGAGTCCCGTACCATTTTTTCTCCCTTTTGTTCCGAAACAATAGAGTTGCCCTTTAAGTTAAATGGGAACAAATTGTGCCTTGGAGCAAACAAAGATGTGCATCAGTACCACCCTCAAACCACTAGTGGTGAATCCAGCTGTACACGTGCAGCAAATTACACATCTACAGTTTCTATTTGTTCTCGTTCTAAACTTGGGAATCCATTGCATTTTTTGTCTTATTTGTACATCTTCCACTCCATGGGTAAACCCTGTGAAACCAGATAGACTGGACACCTCAACAAACATCCAAGCCCATCAAAGAAAATCAATTACTGGCGGTGAAAAGTAACCAAACGGCCAGATGAAGCCTACATCTCCATACACTGATTGCACTGTCTTCCGCCAGTGTGACAAACGCAGAGCGAATATCAGCATGTAACGAAGAGAAAGTGCCTGTACAACAGATTTGCTTGTCATTAATCACACAGGATCCAGGCCACTGCAAAGTACTGGTTATGCACCACCGCCAATGTACAGAAGAACTTCACAGATTGGAGTGGCTGTGAGAGCAGACAGTCACCCATTATAGGAAAACACAGAAGGATTGTAAAATGCTAATGCTCGCCATCATCACACAAGCTCACTCCTATCCAAATGCTAAAAGGCCTCTTTCATTGCCAGCACTCTCACCTACTAAACACTCCCACTCCTGTACCTTCAAAACATATTCTTGGCTTCCAGTATTGGCTATTATGGAGAGAAGGCACAGAAACAACACATTCAGATCTTTATTACTGCTACAGTGACTTCTTAACAAACCAGCTAACTATGAGTGATGCAGTGAAGAGTGGGAGAATGTAGGAATAAATAAAAACGGACGTGGGAAGAAAAAAAAAACAAGCTCCGTTCCCTAATGGTGTTTATCTTACACCATCTGTACACAGAGAGATGGTTGATCGTCTTACTCTTCAGTGAGGAAGGGTTTTTAGTGATAACCATTAAAGATATGGATAAATCAGAACAATTTATTATAAAGCTTCTGATGTTCTCTTTTTGTAATGATTTCAACATATTCATTATTGTTTAAAATCCATTAATACATCCTGAGTCATTCACTTTAATTTGGTTCACATGTAGATAATGGTTACAATTAGTCAATTATAAATAATAAATGTAGGCCTGTTGGCCTCTTGGTAAAATGAAGAGATGATTTCATTCCGATTATTTTCCAGAATTTACAAAATCAAATTTTCCACTCTTTATTTTGAATAGGTTCATGTTTCTTAACAATTACATAACCAACTTCACTTTGAAACAGTAAACTAAGAATATGGCCTTCACGGTCCTGATAGTTTTTTATTACAGTTTTAAGTCACGTGTCATATTTATATTTAGAATTAAAATAGACATTTTTACATTTCCTGTGTTTTGAAAACAAACAGGAAAAAGTTAAATTTGAGAGCAGCTGATTCCACTGGGACCAGAAATCTTGCAGCAAACATGATGCAGTGGATGTGTATACCTTTGTGTGCGTATGTGTGTGTTTTTCTTCTCTCTGTCCAGAAAAGGTAGAAATAAAGGGGTCTTTTTTCAACCCCCCTCCTAACTACATCATATATACTGAGACCCAGGGACAGAGTCTAGACTGAGCCCCAGATGGGGGATTTTTGAAGTGTGAAACAAATGAAGACAAAATGCTTCCAGCTGTCCTTGGTGACTGCAAATGGAAGATATAGGGGGACATTTGACAGGGTCAACTGACAGATTCGTCCTGTCTGCAGCAGCAGAGGAGACAAGAATGTGACTGCAGTGCGATTTGTCATCAGGAGCATCGTGAAGAGACATAGTTGATCATGTCAATTAAAAACATCTACAAAGGAAAAATCAATAGCTTTTTCCTAGCTAATTTATTTCCTATATTATATTCTACTCAGCAACATGTCAGACACACACTTTTCCCCAACGTAGGCATTAGAATATCCTCCACGAACTAGAACCACTTTAAAGGTGGATCAGTCAGTAAATAGGGTCATCATTAAGCAGAAGGTCAAGCTGCTCATGTGTGTGGAGAGGAATGAACTCAATGCCCAGTGTGATGGAAGAAGACACACTGTATATGTCATGTGACTTTCAGATTTCCCTTTCACTAAGTTTCACCGATCTAACAGAGGTATTTTTGGTGTTAGAAACAAGTACAAGGCAAGTACTATACATTGTCCTTGCTTCTAACATAATCACATTTCATAGAAGTTGGAACCAACACATCTGCGTTGGCATCTGCGTTGTTGTGGACATCATCCTACCTACTGGACTAACAGCCCACTAAGTAAGACTAACACATAGACAACACACGTTTAATCATTGCCTAATTACTATAAAAAGGGATGTGGATAGACTACCCAACCATATTTTTTATCCAAAGGAACCGAATTTACCAGGTTACCTGTAATGACAGTGTTTTTTTTCCCCTTTGTTTGTTTGTTTTTGTGCAAGCAGATAAGCAAAAATGTGCAGATACGATTACCTATTACCGACCATGGGACAGTGGGTGATATATAGACAGCATGTCTCTGCAATCACCTACTGTATATGTCCCCTGTGGACAGGTACATGCACTGGTCTAATGAAATCTGCTCACGTACACGCTCACTTCAAAACCACTCCACTGGTAACTTCTCATGACAAGGGCAAAACTTGACTGGAGCCAGAGTGCACGTCTGCGCACGGATGCGTCACTGACCTCTGTGTGCATCTCACAGGTCCTTCTGGATGTGTCACTGTGATGCAGTGAAAACACTCGCCGTACCTGGACCAAGTTGTGATGCACTTGCTGCATTGGTATGAGGCAGCGCTGCAGCTCAGTAATGGGGAAGCACTAGAACCACGTAAAAGCATGTTTCACTAAGAAAATCTGAAAAATCCACTCACCAGGTGATAGTATCTGCGGAGCATCAGCAGCATCAGTGTCTGCAGCAGCAGTAGAAGCAGCGTTAATCCCAGCGGGTCCACTGATGATGAGATGCTGTTGCATCGCAGTCTGCTGCAGGCAGCTCACTGCGGTGCATGAACAACCGCTTCGACAGCGCCACGCGTGTCAGAGTGCTGTAGGTGATGTGGCTGTATGGGTGGACTCTGACGTAAAGCTGCATGTGGGAAAGAAATATAATCGTCGACTTCTTCCCCGACTCTCTCTCTCTTTCAATGCCTCACTCACCCTTCCCTTCCTCCTCCTCCTCTCTCCCTCCCCATCGGTCGGGGCATGCCCAGTACCTGCCTCCTTCATTGGGTTTTCTTAGTTGCAGATCTTATCAGATAAAGATAATAGTCATTTGTCATTTGTCATAGTCATCTTAGTTGCAGATCTTATCAGATAAAGCTGCACTAGCCATAAATAACCTGCATAGGCTCGTGCAGGCAACACAATTAAAAAATATATCCCTTAACAAATTTTGTTCAATGACTATGGCAAGACTATGATAAACTAAAATCAGAATCATTCACTAAAATCATCTATAAACTGTTAAATATGTGTTTGTTTTCTTCAACAAAAGGTGACAAAAGTAATTATTAATGTTATGATAGTATTATATCTCTGACTGAGCGTTTTTAAGTCAGAGATTGCTCAGCTGAAACTTTTTTGAATTTTTTTTGGCAAACTAGAAGTGCAGTGTGTCAGATTTAGCAACACCTAGTGGTAGATATGCATGTTTTCGTTAAACCTGTAGCAGCCCTTTATTCTTATGATCCAGGTGCCCCTGCAAAGAGAAAGCAGAAAAAAAATTATTAGAGTGAATCTAAAATTGTACTTAACACAGCAGGTGTTAAACACAGTAATCTTTGGATGCAGTGTTTGTTTGCAGTCTTTATTGTATATGTTGTCTGCTCCAGCCTTCCTTTCATCGTTTGGGTCATGACCATAGTGTACTCTGTACTGCTTATCAGTCAAATTGTCTGATTGACTGTTGTTATATAGCGTAACAATACCAAACATCTTACACCTGTATCGGTATTTTTCTATTTAAAGTGTTAAAAAAACACACACAAAAAAAAAACAGATATTGAATTCTAATAGGTTAACCATGCTGTTTGATGAAATGCAGAGCACTTTTAGGTGCAGAGAAAATGAAGCTGGTATTCACTGCTCTTAGCTGCCACTTACTGGCAAAAACAGGGAACTACATATTCTGATGAAGAGGACTAAAATTACGTGTTGATGCTGCTGAAAGATTTAGTGTTTACACTTTTCTGTCCTTTCACTGACTCTCGTTAACTCCCTGACAGTAAAGTGCATTTACGTCCCCGTGTGTTCAGAATGCTGCATGTAATAAGAAGCAGGGCCCAGTTTGGAAACAGCGTTTTCACACTTACACTACGAGAGCAGACACTTATTTATGACCTTGTCCAGCAGATGGCACCCAAGCAAACGTTCTATTGGACTTTACAGAATTACAGTCTCTTTCTTATCCAATTGTTTGTTGTAAACATTTAACATTACGTCAACTAACAAATACTCCTGAAATATTCTCAGGGTCTAATGTTTTGACTTCACAAGTAGTAATATAGTTATGGCACTCTATAACTGTCCAAGATTTTTTATTTTCTACATTTGTCCTGGTCTGTCTTTTTTTTCGTATGTAGATCATTTTAAACATTTCTTTGTAATACCCAGTTACAAATACATGAAACAAGGGGCCCATGTCCAATGTGGCAACTACATTAATAAATATTTTCTTTGGGTTTAACTTTGATTAATGTTTTCAAATACCTCAATGTCAAAATATACATTTTTATTATGTGGCTCAATTTGGCAGAGTTTATAGTGTTGTTATTTTCTTATTTTTACAACTGTTTTCTAAATCTCAATACTAGCTGTTTTACCTTCTCATGTTTTATACACGTCATCAAATCTAGGTTACAGAGTGTTCATTTGAAACAGTCAAGGCAATGTCGATATTCTGTATCTGGTTTGCAACATCATGAACCTGGTTATCTTTGCCCTTTTGGTAAGTCAGACCTAGACATGCTCAGAGCTGCTCGGCGTCTTACGTAACTTCACTGCTTCTCATTCACAGCAAGTGACTCAGTGCCCTTTTTCACACATTCCAATGAAACATCAAGCATACAGATTTTGGGACTAATAAAGATAACAGAATTGTGACGAAAACAAAATTATTATTATTATTATTATTAAGTTTTGCGTATAAGAAACCCACAAATGACAAAAGCATCATATGTCAAAGGTGTTAGTAATATCCACAGATTACTCTTGTGTCCTCACTCCTTTACAACATAAATATGTAATAAAATACAAGTACAAATAAAAAATAAAATCATGCACGCAGTCTCAATACGTGCATCATTACACAGTGGTAGTCATACAACATTACTGATTTTTTTTTAAATCTTGACTTATGAGCCGGATACAGTTGAGATCAGCTGTTTTATTTTGAAGTTCTCCGGGGGAAGCTTTGTTGCTTCCTGGACGTGGACAGCGAGGTACTTATAGGGGAATGTACAGTAAATCTCCAGGAACCGCATCCTCTTGTAAGCAAGGACTCTGACCGCTGACATTGCGGCTAATATCAGCTGAATAGAGACACCGCTGCAGTGTGTACTCCACCCTCGGTGTTTGCAGGACAGTACGGCGCAGTTTGGTCTGTCTCTAACCCACAGATTTTTCTAGAAGGTGGACTTTGAAAGCGAAAGGAAAACCGGCAAAATGAACGACACCTCACCGGCGGGATATGAATTCGAGCGGCGTTTCGACGAACAACAAGCCTTCGAGTGGATGCAGGTGCACTGGTGAGTCTAACGCACAATGATAACAAAAAATGTAATCACATAGATTCCTCATAATCTCTTCTCCGTCGTCCTCATCCATCGTATCCTCCTCCTTTGCACCGGTAGTGTGCACAGGGGGTGGTGGGCTTCAAATAGTACTTTTTGTCCTACATCCGCCACAGTTTTGGCCATGTGGAGCCATGTGGAGCCATGTCTCTTCGTCATTGTATTCTAATCGGAGCTTCCTGCTTTAATGTCGCTACATCTAATGTAGCGACATTAAAGCAGGAAGAAACCTGTGTTATAGTTGAAACATCACATTTAATCCAACGTTATCTAAAGAAATAAAAATTCCATTTCAATCACTTTAAATCAGATACCTTTGAGATTGCTTATGCTACGAGTCATCTCTGCTCTGACTTGTTTTGAACAAGTTGTCTCTGCATACTGTTATACAAAAAACAGTGTGCAGTGTACTAGGTGAAAGTAGTCATAATCATACTTCAGTGTAATAACCAAATAAAATTGTCCAATACATAAAACAGCCAGGAGGGTTAAGAAGGACAATACTTTCCACCCTTAATATGCACAAATTATCATTACAAGCTCTGCACAACATGAACTAGTGCCCAGTGCCAGACACCACACATTCATCACATACTTTTGTTTATGTAACTTGCACTTTTTTTAAACTATAAGAGGTGTTGACTGATGTCCAAACCTCAGGATAAAGGAATATGCCATTTTAGGATGTCGCTTTTTAACAATAGAATTGGATGCATTTCATTTCCTTTTTTATTCTTGCACCACACCTGGTTATGAAAAGTTCCTCCTTTTTAGCCAATAGGGATTCGTCTGAGGAGGGAGTGATTCTTATTACACAATTCCCTACTGGGAAACCAAGTACGACCACATTTTTCAGCCCCATGTGCGTGTAGGCATTCAGTGTGAGTAAGGCTCCTGTCCTTTAATACTTTACAGGTACATGTCTTTCATTGTAGAAAAGAAGCTTTTCAGTAAGGCCCAGACCCTGAGACACTATCTACTCAATCAAACTGGAGCTATGGTACACAAAATACACTAAAAACTCAGGAAACAAAGACAGTTAATATTATTTAACCACCTGACGTGAATTCTTTTTAGATACTTAATAACAACAAAACAACCCATTTAAGAATAGTATGATATTATGGTTTCTAAAGTTAATGTAATTTCTGCTCTGTAGGAACTGATGTGATAAATAGTGTTATCGGAATAATATGCAACCAGGAAAGGAAAGTGAACTCCTTGTCATTGTGACACAGCACACCACTGCACACAACCAAATGTGACCTCTGCTTTTAACCCATCACCAAAGTGAACAGTGGGCAGCTTTAAGAGCCTGTGGAGCAGTGTGTGAGGACGGTGCCATGCTCAGAGCACCTCAGTGGTAACCTGGCAGAGGGTGGACTCAAACCTGAAACCTTCCAGACCCAAGTCCGCTTCCTTAACAACTAATCCACCACTGCTCCAGTCAAAATAATACTGATATACAATATTATACTATGTATAATTAGATAATGATGTCTAATTTCCACATGCTAGATCCACACACACATACAGTACATTACATATACGTTTACATATATCAGCATGTAACACACACATACAGTACATTACATATACATTTACATATATCAGCATGTAAAGTCTCAGGCAGAAACCCAGAGCTGAGTGTAATTAAAGTAGAGCATCATCTTGCACCACTGTGCTGCAGTCTGCAGTATTAATGAGCCGCAGATCTTCCTTCTGCAATGTTAGCTCTGCTGAAACTCTCTCTGTCTCTCCCTTCTTTCACACTCCCTATAACTCAGGTGGTCCTGATAGGGGTGCATCACTAATATTTTATGTCCCTGGCCTGTACTTATCTATATGTATGCTGCAGCCTTGTAACTGACACAATCCCCTAATAAAGCAGAGAGATACATTAAATTGCAGCTATTCTGTCACTTTGCCCTGGTTAATTGTGTAATACCTTTACATAATGGCAGTACAGCTGTGCTGTCACCTCTGTCTGATGAGGGTGGTGACACAGGGTCAGTCTCAGGGCAACTCACTCTTCTTCTGTTGCCAGGCCAATAAAGATAATGGTTAAGAACGTGGTGACGTGGAGGTCACTTTACACTTTTATCACTGTGTACTGGGTCTCCATAAAATCAACAGTAACAGATTGACACTATAATTACATTTAGTTTGGCCTTAGTTTTTTTCTCACTCAAATTGGAACTAGAAAACTGGTTTCCAAACTCTTTTCCAAACTGGCTTCCAACAATGCAACCATGTTAAACCAGATTCCAGTTTACAACACTGTCTATCGTGTCTTTCAAAATCAAATGAGGTGAAGAACATGTGGTTAAAAAAAATCTTTTGTTAGTCAACTACAGCATTGCAGTGGAGAAATAATGGTTCCAAAGATTAGAGGAGCTTTGCCTAAAGATTGAGTATTTTTCAAAGGTGTAAAAATGTCACAACAGGTTTTGAATACTGCTTTTGTTTGTCTTTGTCATGTGAGATACATTTTTATCTTTAGAAGCTTTCCAAAAAAATCTAACTTTTAGTTGTTAAATAAGTTAGATGTTAGGGAGCTATTGTAATCTTATTAATCATAAGTGATAATAGGATGTGCTAATTTGATTCTCTTATTTACAGGAACAAGTCCTTCATGTTCTGTGCCCTGTATGCTGTGTTCGTATTTGCCGGTCAGCATTTCATGAGGGAAAGACCAAAGCTAAATCTGCGACGGCCACTAGTGCTGTGGTCTCTCAGTCTCGCCATCTTCAGGTGAGTTACAACAAGGCTTTCTCAAACAAATGCCATGCAGTGAGAGAATCTGTCACAGCATAAGTATTATTGTCAAAGAAAAATGTTTTTTTTTATGATTCCTACTATAAAAACTAAAAAGCCAGACAATTGCAATCTCTGTTAAGGGCATCTGGACAGGTTATGACCCAATTGTAGGGTCAGATCAAAGGCACGCTGTAAAACTCTCATCAGTGCAGAATCTGTGAGCTCACTCTAATCCTAATCCCTACCTTCAATCTTTAAAAGACCAGTGTCAGTAACCAAATCTGCCTGTTCTCCTGTTGTGTGTTGACAGCATCATAGGGGCTGTTAGGACCGGACTCTACATGCTTCATGTCCTCACCAACAGCGGCTTCAGACAATCAGTGTGTGATTCCAGTTTTTATAGTGCCCCCATCACTAAATTCTGGGCGTACGCCTTTGTTCTCAGCAAAGCCCCTGAACTGGGTAAGGCTTCTTGAACACATACCTGCTGTGCTCTTCTGAGTAAAGTCAACATACTACTGTTAGTGCTCCGTCATAGCCACACACTGTAGTCTGAGCACATTTGAGCTTTATGGGGTTTTTTTATGAGCTAAGGTTATGTTGAGTAAAAATCTTTATTATTAGAAAATCAACCTGGTGTCACATATGCAATAATCATAAATGGAAGATATCTAAAAACATATATTCACATGCCCCTTGGCACAAGTCTTTCTTCTCAGTAAAGTTTTATCAGCAATAATCCCAAGAGATGCATCCATGAGGGGAGCTTTCTCTTCAAACGTCCACAGTCACAGTCTGAAACAGTACACTTTTACCAAACGAAAATCCATTCCTTCCAGCTGATTTGTAAACCACGAATGGAGCAATACCAAATGTATGAAATATACAAAATCCAGTCCTCCATCCAAATAGTATAAGCACTTGCACCTCAGTACTCCACCTATGCCCATGGCACAGTCTTTAACCTTTTACTTGAAAACATGTGGTTCTACCCAAAAGGCACGTTCATTACATTCGTTTTGTAGAATTGTTTGGTTAAAGCCACTTGCATAATAAGTTGGAACGCAGCATAAATTCAGGTCAGGAGAAAACCAAAATGCCAATCTGACAAGATTAATTTCAAATCGAATTATTCCTTATTAAGTTATAACTGTCCATTGCCTAGCCCTGGTTCATTATAAAATACTTCTTGTACTCTGTCTCCCTCAGGTGACACAGTCTTCATTATCCTCCGTAAGCAGCGTCTCATCTTCCTGCACTGGTACCACCACATCACCGTGCTCCTCTACTCCTGGTACTCCTACAAGGACCAGGTGGCAGGAGGCGGTTGGTTCATGACCATGAACTACGCCGTACATTCTCTCATGTACACGTACTACGCTGCTCGGGCTGCTGGGCTGCGGGTTCCGCGTCCCTTTGCCATGATCATCACAGCTACCCAGATCCTGCAAATGGTGATGGGTCTGACTGTTCTGGGCCTGGTTTACTTTTGGATCAACGAGGTGCAATGTCCGTCCAACATGGATAACATTACCTGGGGATCCATCATGTACCTCAGCTACCTGATTCTGTTTGCCATGTTCTTCTATGACTCCTACCTCAGAGGCTCCTCCTCCAAAGTCAAAGCATCCAAGGCAGATTAGCGTCCTCTGTCTGAGTTTATCAGCTTTATTCATTTGACAGTAGCCTAAAATACACCTATACCTGCTAAAATCTTTGGATTAAGGGAACTAGCAACAAGAAAACTGACTTGTTTACAGATGCGCATAAATTATGAGGGAACAACTGATATCTTGTCATTACAGACCAGAATCTCTATAAGTAATAAGACCAACAATTCATTAACAATGATTTGCTCCAAAAAAAAAAAAAAAAATTGCAGCCTCCGCCAATGCTGCTCAGTTTGCATCAACATCACTAATCTGTCTTATAATTTTCTAAGTGATGTTGCTAACAAACAAACAAAACAGCCCAGAAGAAATGGTTCCTTTCTGTGGTAATGAAAAGAAGGCTTTTTACATTGTGATTGTACTCACTGTCTCTACGTGTGAAACAGAAACATAGCTGTCGGCTCAGCACTAAGACAAAAATAGTGAGGAAACAGTTACAGGGCTTAGTCCGATGCTTAAAAAAATGCACCAACATTTATGCCAACGTATTTAAATTCTACATCATGTTGATGGGCTCACTTTTCACAGCCTGATGTTTCTCTGTCCTGCTTTTCTTAAAGCATATTTCAGTCATTAACCTGATACTAATCTGCAGGTTACAAACTCTAGTGGTTATAAAAACGGAATGAAGACTTTAAATGCACTGAATGACAAAGAGCCGTTTCAGACACACGCACAACACAGCATTGGGAATGTGCACTTGCTACTAGTCAGAACACTCAACGTACCATCTGCATTTTAAAACCTGACCACAAACCACACATTGCTTAAATGGTTATTGTTCCGTGTGTGAATGCATCAAATGAAGACATGGTATCACACACCACTTTGTGTTCAGTCAGATCAATCCAAAGGGTAATTTAACATGCTCTGTGGTTCTTTTGTTTCTCATATCTGTATGCTATGCAGACTTAACCGTTTTTGCCCCACTTCAGAAAAAAAAGTACAGCCATATACAGTGCACCCCGACTTTGATTACAATAACGGTAGCACTTATTAACACTTCACTCATTTATTACCTGTAAAGAATAAAGAGGTACAGTATCTGACCCGCTTTTGCAATAAATCACAAAGTATTACCTTTTTCTGCATGGCCATTTAAAACTAAGTTGTCATGCTCATTTAGAACATGTGTTTCATACTGACTAAAACAGTAGATTGCCATATACAGTAGCACCAATTTGTGTTTGTAAGCAGTAGAGTGTGAATACAGTGTTTACAACAATTTTTTTTTAAATTTGCTTCTTTGTTTCATGTTGTTGGTTAAAATAAAACCTGGCCACAATGGTTATCATAAGATGGTTAGGTGATGTTCTGAAAATCCATTACAGTTGCTAATGGGCTTTCAAAGATTTAATACCACTTTTCTCATCAGCTTATTGCACATAAAGTATAATGAGATGTGAATACCAGGGGGCTGCTGTGGTCATTAGTGCTGAACACAGTGAGCTGTTAATGAGGGAGACAGGCTTCAGTCAGTTCAACCATTTTAAATAGTGGGTACTATTTATTTTGTTAATTCCTCCAGCTGTTTTGAATTACTGATTGTGTGGTGTTAGGATCTTACATTAGTCTCTTAGTTCCATCCATATGTCATATCTGCATTTTGACATCCTTTATTATCCTGCCCATAATGCGCTTCCCCTCTTTACAAAGATGAAGTGCAACTGTAAAGGTATCTTATAGCATAAACAAGGAAATGTACAGCACTAAAGAGCTGTGTTTAAATTGTAGATTCTCTATAAAAAGTGGATGTTTGTCACATGGTCACTCTGCTGGCTGAAAGATTATTTCATTGTGAGTAAATATGGTTTAGTCTACTTGATGCTTTAACAGTCTTAAACTTTCCTAGCTTACTGGGGACAATGCATGAAGGTGGGTTCAAACCAATAAGCTTTTCAGTGAAAAATAAACGTCCTGTCCTTGGAGCTATAATCATCCACTAATCATGTAAAGTATAAGACCATTTAAAGAGAAAAAATACAAATTAATGTACATATTAGTACACAGTAGTAGACTATTAACCGTACACTTCTTATATATGATCTATAATCAAACCTGTATAACATACTTGCACTTTTGCACTGTCCCTTTGTTCCATTCCAGTTCCAACTTGCACATTTAGTGTAGTTAATTGTTTCCTTAGGTTACTAACACAAAGAAAGTGATATTTGACTGCACGTGTTAGCAGTTTTTAGCCAGTTTTTTAGCCACTGCCTTTTGGTTCAGTCAATGGCTGCTATTGTGCTGAATGTGATTTTGTCACTGATGGAATGT